AACGTCAAAAGTTAATTCTTTGATCGAAAAACGCGTTGACGATCTGCGGTTTGTTTGACCAATGAGATGTTAGCGTAAATCATCACGAGACCGCAAATTTTTATGCGGTTGCTACCTGTAAAAAGAGTGATTCATTTCTATATAAGGGTATATGAACTCGCGAGCTTACCATATTTATACTTAAATATCTAACATTATACGTACGTACGAACAAAGTATAAATTAATTTCTAATTTGCGCTTTTCCTGCATTAGTTTTTTTTTTCAAAATATTCTTTTTAAAGCAAAGCTTTCTCTTTCCAAAAAGTTTTCACGTCAAATTTTTTAAGTATGCTTTTTTTTATAACCAACTTCTAAACCTACAAACCTAAACCAAAAATGAAAGGAACACTGAAAAGGTAAATCCTTAAAGACAGTAGACTTCCTAAATGCAAGTTACCAATGCTAGATTTGAAGTATGTAGTTAGTAAAGATATGCCACATACGAGGTGCCGATATACTTTCATTATCTTCATGGGAATTAATCATATTATGTCATATCTAGTGTTGTTAAACGATATCTTTTTAAAAAATGACGAAAGACGAAATCAAATTCTTCGTCAGACAAAAGTGACGAAACTTTTGCGAAATATGAACCCCTGACAGAAAATGAAATCTTTAACGAAAGACGAAACCTCTGACGAAACTCAATCTGGCAAAAACAGTATGTATCATAGCTATGCTGGAAACTTGGTGAGAAGGAGTGCATAATTTACTGATGGCTCTGTTTAGTATTTTTAGATGAAATCATTTTTAAAAAAACGAAAAACGAAACCTAATCTATTGAAAGTCGAAAGTGTCGAAATTTTCACGAAAGATGAGAAGAAATTGTACGCTATAATCAATATAATTGCGACTAAATTTTTTAAACGTAGCACTTACATGTTTTTATTTTATATTTATACGTTTAAACATCAGAAGGGAAATAAAGTCGAGAAGTTTTGGCAAAAGTAATTAATGCAAGTTGACAAGGGTCAACAGATCGAAAAGAAAGGGTAGTACTGGTCAGGAGTTGCACGGCACGTGCCACGATCCTGATCGATCATAACAAGGGCATGGATCGAGATCAGAGAAGAGATCAATCAACGACAAAATCGCATAAATTAATAAGCAGATAATTAATAAGCAAGGACACGTAATCGAAAAGCCACCCATCGTAACCGATATATAAAGAACGACGAAAGTCATTTTTGACACCCTTTTCCCCTTCAACACATTAGTCTTAGACAAACAAGTTTCTCGACCCAGCCCTTCCCGCCACACATGATAGTCTCCTGATTCTGCCATTTCCTATTTAACAGCCGGCCTGCTTCGAGCAGGCGGGAAACCACTGGCTGATGCTGCTTCTCACTCGTCCTACTGCTACGATGATACCTGGCGCAATCTCACTTGCTAATTTACTGGGAGCATATCATCGTTTCAGTTCGAATTACTTAGCTAAAATTACTCACAATGTATTCTGCGGACTTCAGGTCCTTTAATTGAATTTATTTCCGGCACCTTTGGCTAGCCGGCATTCATCCATACATGACCAGTCGTACCTATGCTTTTCGTTTCACTTGTTTGCTGAATGTTTATAAGTATACAAAAAATGGAAAATTTGATAAAATAAAACTTCCCAACTTAGTTAATTCTTACTGCACAAAACTCCGATTTTTTCCACTTAAAAGCATCTTCAAGTTCGCCCAAAATGTCACCCAGATATATCAATTCCGTTACATGTGTTGTAGGTATATTTGAATTCATACGAGCGAGAATAGAAAACACGATATAGGCACGAGGTTCATGCTGAAGAAGATCTTGAAAAGATGGTTTGTCCAATGAAATCCACGTGTGAATATCATTAGCGTGAAGACGGTCCATTGCATTCGTTGTTTGTGTATGCCAAATTTCCATAAGCCAGTATAGCTCATTCATTCGAAAGTCTTCAACACCTTCCAAGTCATCATCGCGAGATATTAACTCGTTCATCTCCGCAGAAGCTTTGATAGTACACAATTGCCAATCTAACTCTTTCACCGTTTGTTCATACTGCTCTTTTTTCATACGCTTCGTAGGTGCAATAACGAAGTGTAACCCACCTTGATCACCTGATGGAAACCTGAGTTTCATACGATGTGTGTAAATCAAAGCTAACCCTTCGGGGAGATATAATCCTTCAGGAAGGAAATAACGTGGGATTTCTGAGCCATTGAGTCTTTCACTAGGGACATTGTGAGGTGTTTCCAAAGGCACAAAACAGGATACTCCTTTTGCTTTTTTATCGTTGATTTCATAGTACTTTATATAGGTATTATCTGATTCATCGAGTTTATAGTCTCCCCCATAAAGTTCTTGAAGAATAGCATTGGGACGGTGGGTTTGCCAAGGAATTTGCGTGAAACTCGAACCTCTTTTCAATTCTTCCATTTTAACAACTGACGCTTGAAACTTCCGATTTATAAATATTTATCAGAGTGTCAGAGAAAAACCAGGTAAACTCATTTCATGTGATATAAAATATGATATGACAGATTTGGGGGCCGGTAGATCACATGTCATCAGTGTTATAAATAATCTTCCCCAGGTGCGCCAACAAAATTTCACAGTCACGTGACAACCCACAAACTTTTTTGAAATCGTTAGGGTTTGGTCGTCGCCTATATTAAGGTTAGCATTTGAGTGTTTTAATAGTAAAAT